TTAAGATACTTGTGGGCTGGGGTATACCTGGTTTACTTTCAACTTTTTAAAATTTTACCTTTGAATTTGTATGCCCTTTTTTCTTGCAAACTCACTGCATGACCACCCTACTGCTCTAATTTAGAGTTAGTGCAGTCATAACCACATCCAGCTCTCATCCTTTCCCACAATTCACCTTGTGATATGAATTAATGAACTGAAGGGCTAAGAAATCTTAATCCAGATTTCATTCCCCTTCTTCACCTGTAGCATGTGTAGCTAACTAGGTGCCTGCAGCAACATCTTCCATTATTTTCTGTCCACTGTTTTATTCTCTACCCTCCAAAGGAAGTCCAGGCTCTCCAAACTCAGCTGCAGATCTCTTCCGCTTCCTGAGTTTTGCTAACCTGTATTGCTCTCCTACAACTCTTTTTGCCATGGAGAAAACTTTAAGCTCAGGATGCTGGTAAGTCATTTCTTCTTCTTTCCAAAGCCTTATTATTCCCACAGCAACAATTCACCACCACTTTCCTGTAAGTAGGTTTGTGTTCAAGGATACTTAATACCTCAATTTAAAGGGGATGCAATGGAAATAAATTCTTCTTTCCCCATTACAACTGTTCTTCCCACACAGTAATTTTCCCTCTCTGTTTCTATACAGTAAAGGAAATAATATTTTTAAACTCTATTTTTCAAGAAGGATTAAGAATATATGAGGTAAATTAAGATTATACAATTTTGCCATTTTTCTCTACTCATTTGCAGCTTTTTTTTCATCAGCTTTTCCTGAAATTCCCATCAGCTTCTCCCATTCCAAGCTCTACACACTTTCTTTCTTTGTAAACATCCTGTGAATACAGACTTTAATTAGTAGACAGTATTCCCTGAGGGTGGATTTTATCAAGAGCCCTCCCAGGCCCTCTGGAGCTCTTCAACTTTAAGTGAAGCTGTGCAATACTGGTAGAATGAAAACAATTTCTTAAAGTTTCACTAATCCCTTTATATACTGCAGAGGAGTATACTGAGGTTAGAACCAAGTAGAGTGTCATGGAGATTATCTCCCCTTTTTTATGGCACTAAATCACTGGTGAGGGGTTCACCAAGTTCAGCCTCTCTGTTCAGCTTTGATGTGGAAGTAATAGAAATATTTTTACTTGAAAATGTGAAACACAGGATGTTGAAATTTGGATACATGCATGCTCATTGTCATAAATAGAAAACATGCAAAAAGGAAAGGAGTTAAGAGTCCTGTAGGGGGCCATTTACCCCTGAAACTTTAGCTCACCATGCAGTGTTTACTCATGGTATAAACAACTATTCCCTAATAAGCAATTTGGAGTTTCACTTCATTTGCTTTAGTATTCAATGCTGTTTTGTACTTTGTGTTTCACATCTCATCTTTGCATTATACAGACCAAGTACAACCCTCTTCAGACTGAAAGAGAAAACATGACACTCATAAGTAAAGGGCTGAGAAGCTTCTCCGCAGAAAAACTGCTTTTTTGGTGCTCTAGTCTGAGCACAGCACATAGAAAGATCACTTTTGTTTCCCTCTCTCAACTGAGAATCCCCTGCTTGAAGACTGATAACACTGCAACTCTTTTCTGCACTGTCTTGCCATGATTATTGCAAGCATGCCATCAGAGGAGCAGGGGTGAACAGCAGCTAAGTAATAAAGCAAAGAACTCTCTCGAAGTAACACAGGTAGTCAAACAGTTGCACTTTCTATTCATCAGCACTGCAAACCTTTTTTTTATTATTTCTGTAACATTGCAGATTGTAAGAAGGGAAACATCACTTTTAGGTGGGGATAGCCTGCTTTCTTCATGCTTTCAAGGAAGTGTAAGGAAGGTTGAAAGCCACCATTCCTTTTACTACCCCAACACTTTCTAAGATCCCAAATAAGATATTTCTTCAGTGCAAACAACTTCTGCCCTCCAAGCTAGTACAGGATTTCTTAGATAAACAGCTGTACATATGCTAATGCAGATGTCTACCTGGAAATAGGGTTATGAAACTCTCAACCTCCCCTGGCCACTTTCATCCACCATTCAAAACAAAACAAAACAAGATGAAAACAAAACCAAAAAAATTCAAACAAGTAAAAACATGCCCCCTAGGCTTCAAGAAAATCTTGTGTTAAAAAGGAAAAACTCCATGATAGCATAAAACCCCTCCATGTTATTGTGCAGGGAAAGTTAAGTTGAGTTTAATGTGATGGGTGCAAACAAAAGTCTAAAAGAGTGCTGAATCCATTTTGGCATGCACAGATGCAATTGCTCTCAGGTGCAGCACAGTGTAATTCCTCTTACTAATTGACTAATTTATGCATGGCAGAAAACAGTCGATTATACCTTGCAGGAACTTTTGCCAGGTCCTGCTCCTGCTTTTCTCTCTCTCACCCTCAGATGAGATTTTTTTCAGTGTGGCTGGACACTTGTCAAAAAAAAAAGGAAGGACACGACCATGGTGGCTTAGACTAACAGAGGATGGGTTTAGCTCTGTGAATACTTCCAGGATTCCAGAGTATCTAAAGTTACACTTGTGTGCTTGAGGGTCCTATCTCAATGTTCTCACATGTGTTCATCCTAATTGCCACCATCGGAAGGCAAGACAGAGAGTGTAAAGATTTACATTTTACCTGAGGTAGCCTTCTCTCTTTGTAAAACCCTTTTTTTCCTCCTGAAGCAGAACAAAATGGTGCTGCTGTGGGGAGGGATACAAGGATCTAAGCCCCGTCCCTTTATAGGTATGCTCTATTAAAGTTACAGTCTGCATGGAAAGTCTATTTATAAATGCTTGTATATTAAGGTTGTTAGCACCCTGTACAGTGTTTTTTTAAAACAAAAAAGAGCATCATTTCCCTGCTACTACTCATGGCTGAGTAGTATAGCAAACTAAATAGCAGATCTTCCAATACTATACTCTTAGTGGAGATAGCAGACACTCCCACTGAAAACATGCAACAGCAAAGTATGTCAAAAAACACGGAGGAAGGTGGGGGTGGGGCTGTTTATGAGACATATGTGAACCAAATGCCCAGACAAGCCTAGCCCACACAAAAAAAGCCTAGCTGTTCAGGTTTTCTCCTAGAGTGTAAGACATGAAGCGAACCAGGAAAAATTCTCATCAGATTTTTCTCAGGACAGATGGATGTAACACTATTAAAAATAATATATTTTTTTAAAGGAATAGCTGGCTCATTATATGCCAGTTGGGATGTCTGGTTATATTACCCCACACTTAGTCTGTTATATACTTTTACAGTTCTTACAATGAAAATGAAAATGAAAACTCTGTTGTTTTTTTGTTTTTTCTTTCTTTTCAGCATTTAAGAATGACTTTGCAAAGGCCTGAAGGAAATCTCATTCCAAATACAAACCCTCTGCAAATTCACTACTTTGATGATTGTTTGCAAGTTTCCCTTTGAGAGGAAAAGATCCTCAGTAACCAGATCAGAACCCTCCCACCCAGTCAGCTTAGTTCTATTTAGGAGTGTACCCAAGGAATCTGGCTGGCAGGATGTCCTGAAGAGGTTGTACTGCTTAGCACCAAGGTTTTAAAAGTAGTTTTGTGAACAGAGGATGAATCAGAGTCACTGTCACAGAACAGCAGGAGAGTAACATCAGGAAAGTCCTTGCATTGCACGCATTTAGCCCTCAAAGGACAGCTAGGCAATGTACAAAAGAAGAGCTCATGTGATCAAACATTTTGGGTTTTCAATGGATGAGTTGTTCATAGAAAATAGTGCCTTTTTCCACAAACCTGGTTGATGAACATGAGAAGTCTTCTTCAACTAAGCCAGCAAAAAGAAAGAAAGCAAAAGGAAAGAAAAACAGAACTGAACCAAAACTCAGCAACCATGCCGCAAAGACTTTTGTTAATTTAGCAGATTGCCTATTTTAGTTTTGGTTTCAATGTGCACAGATAATTTTCTGGTTCCTATTAAGAAGTAGGAAACCAGTTTCATTGTCAACAAACAGCAACCTCCAACCAGGACGTGACAGCATCTTGAAATTAGACTCATTCTTGGTCCAAAAGAAGTTTAGCAGAAGGAAGCAATTTTCTTGCATTTTTATCATTATAGAGGTGGGTTTTTTTCAGTATATTGACAACAAAGTGAACATTTGTACTTATTCTACCGGTCTGGAATTTAGATGATGCTTAAATGGTTATTTTTGCTTACACAAGCTCTTGAAATATTGTCTTTGGTGTTTATGGGCCTGATTATCAAAAGAGCCAAGCAGATTTCGAAAATCTGGTCACCACATTTTACTTGGAGACAGAAAGAGATTGATTGTGTGACTGAAAACATTTGCCTTTTTTTTTTTTTTAATTGATACCAAACATTCATAATCACTAGGCACTGTACCTCAGAACTTTGGCATCAAACTGCTGGCCTCTCCACCTTTTGAAATAAGGAACGAATCTGTTGGCTTCTAACTTTATGTCAAGAGTCTTTAGAAGGAGAAGAATTTGTATGTGTTGTTCACCTATATGGTATTTATGTCAATTGAAACCCCTAAAATTTGGACACATGCCCTTAGGTCAACCAAAACTGAGAGCCATGTGCATAGACAAATGGATCACAGCCAACCCCCCTCTCTGTAAAAAGCCGTGGATACCAAAATCCCATTGAGTCCTCAGATAGGACTGCCTATAGGTAGCTGCATGTGCTTTAAAAAATACTCAGTGACCAAAGAATGCTCCGTAGCCACTCCACTTTTCTTCAGCTTTCACACACATGCATGAAAATATAGTGTCACTAAGCCCTACATGTTTTCATTTTGTAGCACAATGCACTCTTTCTCCATTTCACCAGAACAGGTAGAAGAAATCTGTTTTAACATCAACAAACAAATTTCCCACCCCAACAATAAGCTACTCTCCTCAGGTACTGGTGAGGTCATTGGACTGCATCATCAGGAAATAACACATGACAGGACTGTTGAATTGTCTGGATCGACCTTGAAGTGGACCTGGAGGCAACAGGGATAATAAGAAAGAGAGCACAACAGTACCTGGAGACTATAGCATCATGTTGCAGTAACAAATTCTTCTGGCAAGCCATCAGCTTCCAATGGAGACTAGTGCTAGGGCTATGAGACAATAACTAAAATAGAGAATAAATATACTTTACTTACATGTTCCCATGTGGTAAGAAGAAAACAGTTTTCCCAAGAGCACAGAATATCATTCAGCTCCATTCTCCAATGACTCCTGAGAGTTCAAAGTTCTTCTGGTATGAAACATTTGTGATTAAAAGCAGGATGAGCTGAGATCATCTTCAGGTACAAAGACTGCTAAGCTAGAAAATATGGTTACACAGGGAAGCTATCCTTTATTGATTATACAAGGCAGCCTAGGGATTGATCCTAGGTAAAATAACATGGAATTTAGACCTCATACACATTTCACAAACAGAAAGAAAAAAAAAAGTGCTTTCTTAGTGGAACGTCTTTATTACAATAGACATATTGATTGTACCTGTGCTAAAGTAACTGTGGCATTAGAGAAATGAGTAGGTAAGGGCAATATTGATTACAGCGCAAGTGAGTCTGCTGATAGCATAGATCATTAGGGCCTAAAACTAAAGCAGATTAACAATAGACTGTCTTCCATTTCATAGCCTTCACTATGATTGCAGCAGGAGACAGACACAAGTTGGCCAACCACAACACTAAAATTTGCCCTTGTTTTGTAAGAAAATATGCCACAACCAGGCTTCACAAAAATGAGCTTAATTCACTGCACTTTTGTACAGGACAGGGTCAATAGGTTTTACCAGTCACAGAGAAATGGTTGGATGATAAAGAACTGTTATTATACTAATGTACCGCTTGTTTGTCCCTGCAATAGCAAAGATGATTTTCACCATAAAGGCTGCTAACAATACTTTGTGTTAGCTGCTGGGATCCTTGGGATTCTCATCCTAATATAAACACCACTAACTAGCAGCTCTTCTGGAGAAAGGTTTGCTGCTTAAGAACTATTTTTATTGAAAAAATATGGCAAATGACACACACATTCATGGGAATACAATACATCCCCATCATAATTCATCAGGGTCAATTACCATTCTTGACATAAAACATGCATGTTATCATCACTATGATCTTGAAATGTATGCTAACTCATGGGAACACAGTAAATCATTTCTTAAAGAAATAATACAGCATATTGTTTGTATGGTACAAACCTTTTAATAGAATTATAATCTAGTCCGTCTGTATTTTAGCTCAGTGTTTGTGTTACTCCATAATCCTGGAGTGTGACATTCTGTGTCATGTATCAAATATTTACTTTTGACTTATTGGGCTCTCAATCTAATATAAAACACCTTTTGGGTCCACTTATCCTCTAATATAGAACTATATTATTTGCTAGGGAAAAGCATTCCGTATTCCCAGGAGGATCTTAACAGCTGCCTGGCTTAAATCCAAAATCAAAATGAACAAGAAATAAAAAGACCTTTTTTTTCAGTGACCATTTTATTTCTGAGGGGGCTAATACCACAGAGGGCATTATCTAGTGTGGCACACAATCTTCTTGTATTGAGTTACACACAAAATCTAAGCTGCATGACTCACTGTTCTTTACGTTATGCAAGAAAGTGACAACTTTCTTTGACACCTAAATCACAAATTTTTCATTTGCCATCTAAATCACTAATTTTCCTGGACCATCTCAGCATCAAGAAACCTTCATTCCAAACTATTTCAAAGCTGTCAAGGAATAATCTGATCAAAAAAAAATATTTGAAAAACATTTCAGCAAATAATGGAGAAGCCTTTATTGATTAAGACAAACTTTTCCCTCATAATTTTTCCCACCTCTCAGGCATAGCAGATAGGCTGGCATTGCATCTGCAAACGCAGGGGAATCAGAGCATGTTTCTATGAATATTAGAGTGCTTGCTTCAGTAGGACTGTGGAACCAGCTGAACACACTGTACACGCACATTGGTAAATGACTAACAGAATTGATTACTTAGTCCTGCCAAGCACTTAAAAAAGTCATAACTAATGATTTTGAACCAGGTATTTGAATGAACCTGCAACTTCAACAAAAACTGAACAGATGACAAAGAAAAGTTGTGGGCTGTCTTTTCCAAGCTTTTTCTTCCCTGTCTTGCTCTGTCTTTTCAGCACAATGTAACAGTCAAACAAAATTTATGAAAAGCACAAAAATAATTCTAACTTACAAGACCACTGACATTATACGCATTCATCTCTTGGCCACAAGAAAGAGGATAACCTCTTCTATACTTCATGAGAATTTAAGAGCAGCATGCTAGGTGGAAGGTCAATCCAGCTCAGTGTCTCATGTTTGTGAATGGTCAAGAGATACATCTGCTATCTGGAACTTCCCATTCCTTCCTGGTACCCTTACAAGCGCACTCCAGTGATCTCCTTTCCCCCAGTAAGGAGTCCTCAGCGATTTTCCAAGAGTTCTTTCACGCCTTTGATCACCTTGGCTTGAAACTTTCATAACTCTTTACTTATTATCTTTCTTGAGGTGATGGGACCAGAATCATACAACCTATGTGAGATGCTGTCACACCTTGAATTTTTATGTAGGAGTGACTTTGTTTTCCATTCATTCCTTTATAATTGTTAACCTTTTATTTTTCTGTTACTGAGCAATGAATTGAAGTTTCTGAGGAGCTAACAGCCAAATGGTTTTTGGAGTGATAAAAGCTATTTTGATGTCTTTAATTCCATTTACATAATTTGATATTTATTTAGATATAAGTTTTTTGTTTATGGGATTTTTTTTAATTTTTCAATTTGTTGTTTTGCACATTTGCATTTTTCTTCTTTCTGTGGCTTTCTGCCACATCTTTGCAGGACTAAATATTGCCAAATACCTGTCATCACAGTGTATGATCAGTTTTCCTAGATCTTTCATCAACCTTTATCTGTGCATAATTCTTCACACAGATCCCTGTGGCACACACAGTATCACACAGTATCACAGTATGCTAGAGATTGGAAGGGACCTCAAAAGATCATCTAGTCCAATCCCCCTGCCGGAGCAGGAACACCTAGATAATGTTACACAGGAAGTGACCTGCAATGAGAAAACTGTTATTTTGTAGTATATTTCTTTGTTTCCAGACCAGATGCTGATCTAAGGACACTTCCTCTTTTACTATATCAGCTTGCTTCTTTACAAGCCTTTGGTCAGAAGGTTCCATCTTTTGGAAACCCAAACACACTATATCAACTGGATATTCCTTCACCTTCCCGCTTGACAGTTCCTGGATTTTATCAGCTAGGACAATCTTTTGTTGTCATGTGTCGTGGTTTAAACCCAGTTTCTTCGAAAAGAATCAACTCCCACGGGTTGAGATAAGAACAGTTTAGTAACTAAGGTATAACACAAATCACTACTGCTACCACCAATGATAATAATGATAAAGGAAATAACAAGGGAAGAGAATACATCATCTCACCACCAGCCGACCAATAACTCGCCCCCCAGGCCCAACCAAGCTCCGACCGATACCTCCTCCAACCCTGCAGTCCCCCAGCCCTTCCGGCTAACTCCCAGTTACATCCTGGGCATGACGTGCTGTGGTATGGAATACCTCTTTGGTCAGTTTGGGTCAGGTGTCCTGTCTCTGCTTCCTCCTGGCTCCCCCTCCTCCCTGGCAGAGCATGAGCCTCACAGAGTCCTTGGCCAAACCAAAACATCGCTTGTTATCAGCTCTGTTCCCGAGCTGAAAGTCAAAACACTGCACTACACCAGCTACCAAGGAGGAGAAAAATGACTGCTACTGCTGAACCCAGGACACATGTTTATTAATTTCTTTAAAGAACTCTATGGGTTTTGTGAGGAATGGTCTCTGTTTACTCTAGCACTGTCAAGTGTCCCTTGATCAAACAACATTATCAATTTTCTAACAATTCTGCTACTTAGTATAGTCAGCCTGCCTGGTATGAACATTAAGCTCAGACAATTTCCACCAACATGTTAGACAGCATGCTAATTGTTCACTCATTTCATTCTTCAGCTGGTTTAGAACCCTGGGGTGAATACCACCAGGTCCTAATGACATCTGACGTTTTATTTTGTCCAACTTGTTCTATAATGTGTTCTGCTGACCCTTCTTTTTCAGACAGATCACCCAGTGCTTCTCCAATAAAGATTATGGAATGAAAACTTTCCAAAGTTTACCCATGGTGCATACAGAGATAAAATAAAAAATAAATAAATGTATATAGTCTCATCTCTGTGTGTTTCTTTATTCCAATAGATGAGGCCCTACAGATTCTCTGGCTGGTTTTCTGCTACTGATGTGTTTGAAAAAAGATTTATTGCTAGCTTGTGTGCATTTTCCAAGTGTTTTCTAAAAATATTATCTATTTTGAACTGCCTCTTTTTTTTATATTTTACATAGCAGAGTACGTAGAGGTTTTTTATTTTGTTTTTCTGTTTTGTTTTGTTGGTTATTGGTTTGGGTTTTTTTTATTTGATCACAGCTTGATCCTCTCAAGGTCATTCTCTTATTTCTGGTAGCCTGCTATATAGGTTTCTTCACCTTCTACCAAAAGTCTTTTAACAGGCAGCACCTTCTTCAAGCCACTAGCGTTATATATTGAACATTTCTCTATCATATGGAAATAATTCTCCTAGTAAGTGTTCTTTTTAATTTACTTGAAGCAAGATTCCTCATTTACAAGCTTTTCCCTTTTTATAACTAAGCATTATAGTAGTTAATTTCTTGTTCTCATGTGTGCTATATCTATAAGCATACCATGTTATGTCATAGCTCTGCCACATGCCATGCAGCATGTAGTCACTACATACCCCTTTAGCCATATTTTATCATGCCCTATTGGGCTTACTGTTTAGCGGAAAAAAGACAAGAAACAGCCCGTAGAAATAAAAGCCTGTCTAAATGAAAATGTATATCAGTGTATTACTCACAAGGAACACGAGCAGCTATGACCAGATCCTGACACAAAAAAAAGTCTTCATCAAAGATCAAGCAGCCTTTACGTATTTCCTCAGTTGCCTAGTTATTAAGAGAAGAGATTTTGAAAACTTGTGAATGGAAGGTGGCACTGAGCTCCCTTGCTATCATAACTGAGAAATGAGATCTGG